TCGGAACTCTGAAATTAAAGTCGGAATTCTGAGATTAAAGTCGGAATTCTGAGATTAATGTCAGAATTCTGAGATTAATGTCGGAATTCTGAGATTAATGTCGGAATTCTGAGATTAATGTCAGTGTTTTTTCTCATACTGAAATAAAATTTTAAAATCTGTTCACTTTTTTTTTTCAGTCACCCTAATCCTCTTCCAGAGGATATCTGAATCTGCTGTGTGAAATGGAAATGTCAGGGAGCTGAATGACCTCAGAGGAACCATCAAACATTCACTCTCCCTGAAGATGATCCTTTAACATCAAAACAGACCAACCTGGAGCAGCAGCCAGTAGACGGTATTAATACAGCTAAACAGCAGCTGTCAGCAGCTGGAGGGTTTCTATAAATAGCATCAGATCAGCAGCTGGAGGGCTCCCACCTTACCTGGCCTGCTGGGATAACGCCGTTCAACGGTGTGACCAGGAGAGGGTTGCAAAGATGATCTCCTGAATTGGATTAACGCTGCCGAGCAGTCAGTCAGTCAGTTAGGCGGAGGGGGAGGTTGCCCATCTTCATGGATCCCAGAGGAAACATTTGACCCGCTACTGTGGCCACAAAGCGCCTGAGTCCGGCCCTGAAGCGAAGCAAGGACACCAACGACCTCCAAGAAAACAAGCAGAAGCAGCGGGAGAACCGGGCTGCAGCTGACCCTCTCCTCTTTATCAGGGAGGGGGTTGTTTTCACACCGGAACGGCGGCGCTGCTTTAACTCTTGATTTCCGGGGAGGAAGCAACGTCCGACCGTTAGGAAGCGACGCAGATTCAGAAGAAAACAACAGACTATCCTGCTGCAAGGAAATCCGGGGGCGGTGTGTTTACTTCTCCTCCGCTCCTGTTACTTTGCTCAGTGGGGAATCAGCTGCCTTTCGTTGAACAGACGCCATTTGTGAAGGAGAAAAGGCTTTCAGGCGGTGAGCTGTGAAACACTGCCCCCCAGAGGACAAGGTGCTCACTGCACCACGGTACACGACCGAGAGCTCCATCTGCTGGCCAAATCTCTGAATTACTATAGTACCCAAAGGCACATCATGATTGAAACTGGATATGATTAGATTATTGAACGGAATAAATAATCATAAAATTAAAATGTGCATACTTTGATTATTTATTTACTTATAATAAAAATAAATAAATAAAAACGCTGGAAATATGTTTTTATTT